AACTTCAACTATTGTTTTAAAAATGTGAAGATTTAGTCTTTTTTAATTTAATTTGTCTAAAAGCTGTTACTAAGTAGCCTGGCCCTTGCCTTCCTTCATAGTTCTGCTCAATTTTAGTTTCCTTCTCTGCTCCGTCTGTGATTTCTCCCAAAGAAAAGGATTTCTCCTGTAGAAGTTCAGCCGGGCCAATCAGGGAACAGAAGGACAAGGTTTCCAAATGCATTAAATTTGTCTCACAAAGCCTGCAGCACTCATTTACTAGTTTTAGTTAATAGTTTTTTTTTTCCTGAAATGAGCGGGCTTGTTTTCACATTTTTAGTCTTTACACATGATTCCTTTTTAGTGGAGCTGCTTAAACAGGTTTAATGAAGGCTCAGTGGTGACATTTCACTCAGTCAGCAGTGAAGATGAAACTTAAACCATTTCTGTTTTTCGTAAGAAAACAAAACCATATTTTCCAGGTACATTCACCACAATCATGTGGATGGATGGATGGATGGATGGATGGATGGATGGATGGATGGATGGATGGATGGATGGATGGATGGATGGATGGATGGATGGATGGATGGATGGNGGATGGATGGATGGATGGATGGATGGATGGATGGATGGATGGATGGATGGATGGATGGATGGATGGATGGATGGCTGTAGTAAAATGTGACCCATCATATCGAAATGACGATTAAGTCAAATTTGGTCAAAATGACCTCATTACATTTTCAGATTCCTGCTTTAAAAGCTTCATTTTGAAATCTGGATCATTCTGATATCATACTGAATACAGAGATATGACTCAATTTGTCTTGTTGGTTACGATAATACATTACTGTTTGGTCTGAAGCCTAATTTTTGTAAATTTATTGAGTAATTTTTGATGTCAAGATTTCCCAGTGGGTAAGAAACAAAAACATTGCTGGCTCACAGGGAAAAAAATTAAAATTTTAAGGTGTTTTTCTTCCAAATCTGTTTTTTTTTTTGGTTGTTGTTGTTGCTACTGTTCAAGAGAATGCTTCAAAAAAATTTATGATTATATTTCAGACAGTTCATTCAAATAATACATTGATAAGGCATTAATTCATTATATTTTGACAAAATGCAATTGTTGCAGATGTTTAAATCAAACCCCTATATGTGCCTTTTTCTCCACATTCCACTTTTGGACTTCATCTCATTTCCATGTGATGGGTCACAAATGATTGAAACAAACAGCTGCAAACATTTGAAATTTTAAACAAAACAACTAAGTCAGACGTAGGGGTGCAACAATACATGCACCCATATTGAACCGTACTGAACAGTGCCTGTATCGAACAATGCAGATTTTTAAAATTTACTTTATCATGTCTTCTGAAGATGCTCTGTGTTGAAGGATCAGTGGATCTGTGTTCGACTACTCCACCTAGGCTGCATTTTTGAGAGCAGATCCACTGAGAAACTTGCTGTTTCAGCAACATTTATTTAAAAAACTGTACTTTTGCGGTTAAACAAATGTTCATAAGTAATATAAATAAATTACAAGTTAAAAAGGGCATGGAAATTTCTCTTTTTTGTATCGAAAAATATCGAACCGTGAGACTAAAGTATCGAACCGAACCGTGAATTTCCTGTATCGTTGCACCCTTAGTCAGACGTCACACTGCCGCAGTCGTCAAAGACAAACTTCCAGGATGGAAAAGTGAAAGAATCTGCTGGTTTAACGCAGGGCGATCAGGGGGATTAGTGACGGTGTGAGTCCAGCTCAGCCTATGAAAACAGTTATATAACGTCCTCCACAAAGTCTTCTAAAGTCAGGAAACAAGACTTTGAAGATGTGTCAAAAATAGACCAAATAATGCTTCTTCTTCTTCTTCTTTTGACTTATTGCCTAAAACACCTCAAGTGTTGTTCCACAGGGACTATGTTTAATTTGGCTGTAAGGATAGTTGTTTCTACCAAGCATGCAAGATATAATAATAATAATAATAATAATAATAATAATAATAATAATAATAATAATAATAATAATAATAATAATAATAATAATAATAATAATAATGTTATTATTATTATTAAATTAAAAAATATAAATTCTCTACCTGTAAGAAAATTTATATAAAGCAATCATTATGCTACAAAAATGCAGCTTTAGGTTTCTAAGAAAGATAAAACAATCAATTCAAATGACGTGTAATCTAAATTCTAAGAACGTTTATGATAACCTACAGTTTATTCACAAATGAGTGCAGTAAACAAAGCAAATGTTCAAACTAAGAAACTATAATTTCAAGAAAGAAATGTGGTCATGTTGAATTTGATGCCTGCAACATCTCTTAAAATATGCAAGGCAACAAAAAGTCTGTAAAGGTGGAGGAGCAATGTGCAGCTAATTAGGTTAAGAGAACTTTTAAAAAGAGCTCTTAAAAGAAAGAGCATTTTAAAGAGGTATAGATGGGCAGAGGTTCACCAGCCTGGCCACTACAGGTATGAATGCTGATTTTTTTGGGTGGGAGGTTAGGTTTAGAACCAAAGTGTGAATTGAGTTTAGGTTAGATTTAGGGTCAGGTATGAACTGGGGTGGTTAGTTTTAGAGTAAACGTCAAGGTTAGCTATAGAAATGATCGGAAAATGAATGGAAGTCAATGCACAGTCCCCACGGACATGCAGTAACAAACCTTGCCGGTGCATGGCAGCCCCACCTGTCAGTGTGTCCCAGGGCAGCTGTGGCTACAATGTAGCTTAGCACCATCAGTGTGTGAATGGGTGAATGACTTTAGTGTAAAGTGCTTTGGGGTCCCCATGGGGCTTGAAAAAGCGCTAAGTTCATTTCAGTCCATTTGTGTATATATGTGTGTCTGTGTGTGTCCCATTGTGGGGGTTTGGTCATGTGTGGGACAGATATGCTTGTGTGGCATTGTGTTGGTCAGACCTGGCTGTCAGGTGCACGGTGCGCTCACCTGTATATCTGTGAGTCAGGTGTGTTTTCTTGGTTTAGTGCACCACACACACTGCACGTTGGGTTTGTGGCCAGGTGTGGTGATGGTTTTGTGCGTACCCTGTGATAAAATCCCACAGGCGCCCCCTGGGACTGTGCATACATACATCTTTTTCTGGGAAGGCCTTGCATAGTTCAGCAAGACACCAACACTTTGTAGTAGATGGTGCCTGAAATCTATCAAAGAAGATCCAGGACTGTTGAACTGCTAGAACCCAACATCAGACAAGAGTGGGCCAGCACTCAACTCCTAAAACCCCAACAACTGGCTTCCTCAGATCCAGGAAGCTGTGCTTCACCGTGGTAAACATGGTTGTGTCCCAACCTTTTTAAAATGTGGTGTTGCTATCATAATAGCAACCTTATTTTAAAAAATAGTACAATTCCTTGGTTTAAACACGGACCTGTTTGATATTATGTGAATAAAATATGGATTTAATCCTAACCCTATTTAACTTTTACAGGGGCTTATATGTAAGAGATGCAAGTAGAACATTGTACCTACATTTTTTCAGTTTGTGGCCCTCTGGTCCAGTTTACTTATTAGTCCCTGCAGAAAATGTTGCCCACCTGTAAATGAAACATCTGACTGAGTGCCACTGCCTTCCAGTCCTGTTACTAAATCTCCTGACCCCATTAATCTTCTTCTGTGTTTCATAATTTGTCTTGGATTTCATCTACATTTAACATTCAGCACTTTTCAGTTTTACTCTGTTGACATTTTCATCTCAGAATTGTTCGACAACGTTCCTCCTGACCTTTCCAGTGCCCCCTAATCTTCTGTTCCCCCTGCTCTATCAGGGAGATCAGCTCATTCCACCTGAGAACACAGATATGAGCTACAGCTCTGTAATCAGGGATCTCATTTCCTTTCCTTATCCTAACGCTGACTCTCTGCTGCTCTTTGGATTGGATCATAGCAGCGACCGAAGAGCCTTCCAAGAAAAAAACAACAACATGCAAACAGATACTGTCCCTTCTGGCTTAGTTACCTTCAGTGCTGTCCTCCTGCTTTTCTGTGAACTTCCCTTTTCTCCTTGGATCAGGTCCATCTTTTAAGTGCTTGTATGTTTATCCTCACTCTGTCCTTGTCTCTTCCATTTCAGCTTTCATGGCTCCTGAAATGCTTTATTGTGAGCTCCAAAGCAAACTGGAAACCCAAATTTTCACCACAGCCTTGTGCATGGGCCTCCAAATGTAAAATAAAGAGTTAATAAAAAGTTGCTAACACATTTTCAATATTTAGTTCACTTTCTGAGTGTAAAATCCTAGTTTAAATTTCCACTAGTATTGTAATTTACTGCAGCTCTCAGTTCTTAAATTTTGCAAATTTTTACAAACTGTTAAATTTAAATGTTAAATGCTACATCTAAATGTTAAATCCTAAATCTAATAGTTAAATCTCAAATGTTGTGGCTAAATAATAAAGCTTACATTTTAGTTGTGCACAGTTTTTGTTGTGGCGTCATCCTCCTCTGACAAAAGCAACCACTAACGCTGCTAATGCCGCTAACGCCGCAAACACTGCAAACACTGCTAAAGATGACATTTAAAATTTAAATTCAAAATGTGTTGATTGAAAACCATACACAACTAGTCTGGCCATTTAAAGTGCAGCTCAGACACCGGCCGCAACTGCAAGTTTGATGTTTTGTAGGACATCGTTAGCAGTGTTACGGTAACACTGCTATGAGCTGTGTTAGCAGCATTAGCAGAATTTAGTAAAAATTAATAAAATAACAATAAAATGTCAGTGTAAAATTTTAAACCAGAATTTCATGCTCAGAAAATGCGCTAAATAATAAAATCTGAACACTTTTCACATTTTATTTTAAAGTTAGTGCCTCATACTTAGTGTATGTTCTACTTTTTACCATCATGTTTTGCTGCTTATAAATTATACTGATAAAGATGGTAAACATGTATTAATACTGGGTCTGCAATGTTACACTTGTAATGAACTTTAACATTTAACACTAAATAGTGAAATGTAATGAAAATCGTGTTGCTGTTTTGTTCCCAGACCTCTTCATCGAGAGGTTTTGTATGACGGGAGGCAGCAGCCCCATAGGTTACCTGAAGGCCTGGCATACAAACCTCTATTTGTCTGCAGATGCTGAGAAGGTCAGGGAGGCGCTGGCTGAAGGTGAGCATGCAACATGTGTGCCACAAAGACATAAAAGAGCATGAATATTATTTGTGACACTACACTGTTAAGCAAAATTAGTGTTAACTGATTCTGTTTAATATATTAAAGCTCCTTCACCTGCAGGAAAAGGCAAAAATTTTCTTTTAAAGAGTTTGTCTTGGCACAAAGAAAACACCCTTTCTAATTTAATTCCTGGTACTAAAACTACAATACACGTTACTGATAAGACTTATATGATTCTTATTAGTTAATGAGTGTTTATGGAGGTTGAAAATGGTTGTAGCTATTAACTTGCGTCTAATTATCTAGAAATCTTAACTAAAATATAACGTAATACAGAGATAATTTTAGCTGTTTTAACTTCAATAAGCACACATCAAAAAGGGGAATTGTTCTTTTTTGAAAATAAGCTTTCTTTTAGATACTGTTTACAGTAATCATTTCAAGACACCATCAAAGTTTAATAGTGACAAAATCAGAACAAAACAAAAGCAGAAAAAACAGCTTTGTTGTTGTTTGCGTTTCTAGGACAGAAACTGAAAGAGTGTTTGGCTACTGTCAGGATACTGTGATGTCATTTCTCAAAAACACTTTTTAAAGGACGTTTTTGTATTAAAAGCGCTTGTGTGGCACAGCTAGACAGATTATGGATGTCCTTGAACTGACTAAAAATGATAAATCTCAAAGGTTCTATGATTAAATAATGTGATCAATGATTTTGTAAAATTGTAATAATGAAAACCAAATGAAATGATGAGGGCTTCAAACAATCTTTTACTAAAACACAGTAAAGCAAATAGATTTTCACATTTCTGCCTTGTGTTTCTTGTGTTTGTGTTCAGGCATTGCAGCAGCCACCATGTTCATGCCTGAGAAGCTGACAGAGGTGTCAGAGTCTCAGCTGAGGGTGGCGTTTGACGGCGACGCTGTCCTCTTCTCTGACGAGTCTGAGCGCATTTTCAAAGCCCACGGGTTGGACAAGTTCTTCGAACACGAGCGGGAGAATGAAGACACACTTCTGGATCATGTTTGTATAATTTACTCTACAATTTCACATTTTATCACTGTAGATTATGTCATATGTTAGGTTCAGAAAATCATACGTTATGACTCATATTACATGTAAATGACTATGCAGATGATTTTCTATCTGAAAACCATTTCAGTAAAAGATATTTATTTTGCAAGAACATTCTGCACAGGGGCGGTGCTAGATTTTTTTCGGGTTTGGCACAGGGGTGGCTAAGGGGGGCACATACAAATAAAGAGAACTACCCTGGAGGGAGGGAGTTTTCCTCTCCACTGTTGCCAACATACTGCTCAGGATGGGAGACTGTGACGAAGTGATTTAACGCAATCTGCTGTCTTCCTTAGATTGTTGTGTGTGTGTGTGTGTGTGTGTGTGGGGGGGGGGGGGGGCGACAGTTCCCTGAGATGACATATGTTGTGACTTGGTGCTATATAAATAAACTGAATTGAAATTAATTGGATTTGGACATTCAAGATGGCCACCACAGCCAATTTCAAATGACTCTGTTTCATTATTTCATTGTTTGAAGACTGAGCTGAAATTTGGTGGCTGAGAGGAATCCCTATGATATTTTGAAAGCTAATCCTAATTTTAAGCTACGGGTTAATTCTGGTTTGAAAAAAATTGCTTTAGCAAATTCTAGACACATAAAGCCAAAATTTTGTATCAAAGGGGACAATAATTTTCACAGACTTCTTAATGCAAATCAAAAATTCAAGATGGCCACCATAACTAATTTTAAATGACTATAACTCACATATTTTTAGAGCTACTGAGCTAAAACTGAGTGTGTTGGTTGCTTAGAGTGATCTTTAATATACTTTGTAAATCAAAAATCCAAGATGGCCACCAAAGCAAAAAAGGAAAAAAAATCATGTATTTTTTTATATTTTATTTTTAAATATTAAGCTAAAATTTAGTGTGGTGGTAGCTGAGAGAAATGCCCAATGAATTCTGAAATTTAAAGATGGCTATGACTCAGCTTTCTTTAGACGTATTGAGTGGAAATTTGGTGTGTTATGAGCTGCAGGCACCAATATATAGTACAGTCAAATCATAAATTTAAAATGGCAGTAGCAAACATGGCAATACCCATTAAAGTTCTTAAAGGAACTTTTCTATTTGCTCCATGTCATTGCTGTGTTACAGACTCACCTCGAGATGTTGCCCAGATTTCGTTAACTGGTTCTTAAACCCAAAACTGTTACACACAATTCTTCCTTTATATTAATTCAGTGGTTTAGAAAAGTTTAGTTTTAGTCACACACTGATAGGTTCACTCTACACCAGATCATGCAGCTGCTTATCAAATATCTGTACTATTTTGGCTTTAAATGCCCTTTTTTTGCAATCTTCACCCCACTTGTCAATCATTTAGAGGTGCCACCCCCTCTGGCTCTGCAACATCAAAAAGATGTAGGGATCACCTCGAGAGAAGAAGCACGGTTTACTGCCTCGAAGCAGGCCTCGGACAGGTCTGACGAGAGGACAGGAACTCTGTCACAAACTGAACTCTATTTAGGCCATGACAGGTCATTCTAACCGTGGAAGAGAACCCCTCAGTTCTCTTAACCAGATAACGGACAGAACAATCTCTTCTGTTAGTGATTCAATTGTTGTTTAACTAAGAATGTTTATGCTTTTGTTAAATCATGATAATGCCTTCCGGTTGACCCACACTTCGATAAAAGTAAAAGTCGTAGTAACAAACTAATCTTACTTTCCTCCTTTCCTTGTTCTTAATTTGCCAAAACTTAAGCTAAAAGTGCCAGTAAAATTGTTTGGTTGTTAACATCAGAACTGATGTTTTACAGTTCTATATAAGTAATCTGAGTTGATGTGAATTGAAATTCAGACACGACTTTTATCTCATTTAACTCTGACGCTTGTTATAGGAATAACCACAATCAAGTGTAACTTATGATCTGTTCAGTTTGTGTAAATAAATGATTACATAGTCTTTTATGAATCAACTTGAACTCATCTGAACGTTCACTTATTTTGTCACTTTTCACTTCGCACAGTCAAGATATTATCAAGTAATGAGAAATACCTTGGAAAAAGTTTCCTCATAACCTTGTGTATGAGAGATGTGGGAGAAGCTTAATTCACCTTAAGCTCACTCCTACAAGATGAATGTTCTAGTGGTAGAATTTATAGATAATGTTATGTTGTATTTCTTAAACCAAACAACTATTTAGAAAAATAAACTTTTCAGTCTTCACTGTGCTGCAACTGATATTACTGGAGCCAAACATCAAGTCACAAACCTTCCTTCTCTGCAGGGTCCCCTGAAGGGCTTCTTGGAGGCACTGGGGAAGCTTCAGAAAAAGTTTTATGCTAAAGGCCAACGCCTGGACTGTCCCATCCGCACCTACCTGGTCACTGCTCGGAGCGCAGCAAGCTCTGGGATTCGAGCGCTCAAAACACTCCGGGCCTGGGGATTGGAGATCGACGAGGCGTTGTTCCTCGCAGGCGCACCTAAGGGCCCTATGCTGGAGAAGATCAGGCCGCACATCTACTTTGATGATCAGATGTTTCACGTGGAAGGCGCCGCGGAGATGGGCACCATCGCTGCGCACGTTCCTTATGGTGTCGCACAGAAAAGTAACCAACAGAAAACGAGTATGGGGAAGTAAACGGCAAGACTTTGAATGAGAGCAAAGAGGAACTAGATTGAAAGACAAATGAAAAGAAATCTTCGATAAGTGTGAAGCGTTTAATTTATATTAACAATGTTTGGAAGTGAACAAAGGTCAAGAAGAGGTCTGGAACCTGGGGTGGCCTGAATGACAATATGATTGTCAATTTAGTCGCCCGTCTGCTGATGAGGTTTTGCAAATTCTGCTCCACGTAGGACTTTTATAGGTGCTCAGTTGTTTTAATGGTTTCAATCCTACGCTCAGATGTTTTTTTTTCTTCCTAAAGGAAACTACTTCAGTGCTGCAATGCTGGAGGACACTAAATCACTGTAAATGAAGGCACTTCAGTGAATGTTAAATGATGAGCTATAAGCACAAAAACAAACATGTTTAATATAAATATGTACTGTAGTTGTCACAACATTTCTGTCAATCATTTTATAGTTTGACATCACAAAAATGTAAAGATTATAGAGAAACATGTTGTATACTGAATGTGATTTTTCTTGTTTTAGCTCCAAACAAACAGAAAGCCATAAGTTTAGTTTGTGCCTTCAGAGCAACAATTACCCTTTAAAACTCTACTTACAGCGTTTAAAGAAAAAACTTACAATGATGAAATTGACAAGCTAACGACTAATCTAAAGCAAGTGGATTAAAATTATTCTAGTATCTAAAATTTCACAATAGTTTATGTGAGCACCTTTAAATTGCAGAAAGTTTTGCATTACCTAATTATTTAGGATTCAAATGTTATTCCATGCATGATTAGCAGTAGCACTTTTGGTGCATCTTGGGGTACTTCCAGCAGGACCTTTTCACTAACACAAAATTGACAAAGGTGTAAATATTTATAAAATAGTGTTTTGGTGAACTTCTATAAAAATTTAAAGATAAGTTATTTTATGATGGCCAAATCCCTTTTGGAAGTATAAATATGGTCTGACGAAATGCTCCAAGCTGCACCAGATCAATCTCAGGACTCACTTACTGTTGGACATAATTTCATTTCTCCAAACCTAGCATTTGAAAAGATAAGACTTGTATTTTACCTTTTAATGACCTTTTCACATAATCCTGCTTTAGATTATCTGAGTTATTCCTTCAGATTTCTTGTCGGAGCACACTAATTGTCACTTTATTATTATTATGTTTTCTACTTTGCTTCTAGGTGCCTTTAGTTGTAATGAATGCACTTTTTGATCGTTAGCACCTCTGAAAACAAGAAGAGTCATAGCCAATGATTAGCATTCTAAAGTTAAAGATGCTACTGTTGGGCTTTGGTCAAATACAAGCTGAGGCTTTGGTGAACTGAATATTCAAAGAAATTTTGAGTCACGATCATCAGGGTTCAGTGATGGCTAAAAATGAAACAAAACTTTTCCTAGTTGCAATATAAATCCAGCAACTCTAACGGAATAGTTAGCTCTAAAAGAGCGTTAACTTTTGTTCCTGATGAAAGTTCAGTGTTATAAGTGAATGGATAAGAATTTAAGCTGCAAAAACACAATAGCTGCCAAAATGCATCACCTTTTTAATGTATTTGTTCTGAATTGGTCTTTCTCTAATACAATGTCTACATCATTGAAGGGTTATTTGGGGGTTAATATAAATAAAAGTCAGTAAGATTTTAGTAAACATTATGTTAGAAACAGCAAGTTGCCTTTGTCAGAATCTAAATTCAGTAATCATTTACCTTTCCAGTCCTCCCTAATCTGCTGTTAGAGCTTAAAATATTTCATCACAGCCCATTTATATAAAATCCATGAACCAATTTTAGCTTTAACTCTTTTCACTGCTTTATGTCTTCCCCAAAATTAATCTCATTTGGTTGATTCTCTACCTCACAGCTTTTCAGCATTACTTTTCTTTTCTTTTTTTTCTTTTTTTTTTTTGGATGGCCTCCCTTCTCCCTTTACAGCCATCCTCTCCACACTTTTCAGCATTACTTAAAAGAAAAAAAAAGCTGTGCATTTTCTTTTTTTTACCTGGTTTCTCTAACGTCCATTTTCTCCCTCTGCCTCTGTTTACGTGTGAATTATTTTACTGACTCAATACGGAAACTGTCCAAAGTGTACTCATCAAATGTTAAAAATGTAAACAATCTTCTCGTAATTATTGGCAACAAAGCACATCTGCTGATTTCCCTTATTTCTTACAAATTACAAAGTAGATATTTGTTAATGATGTTTAATGCTTATTTTTATAATAGATGATATTCATGTATGAAAAACTTCAAATCAAAAACATTGAAAAAATATTTTCAGAGCTTTTATGGCTTTTAGCTACAAAGATTCTAATGTTATAAAGAAATGTTAAGCATGTTGTATTTTTTTGATTGAGAAAATCAGCTTTGTAAATTAGCATTTATCTGGTCAAAAAGAAGCAGAAATTTTGCCTGTAAGGGAAGAATAGATGATATAGGTTTGTATTAGATTGAGGTAGTTTTAGGAGCAACAGATCTTCTAATAGAAAAGTGAATTTGTTTTTCATTAAGACTAAAATTAAGATTAATCTGAAGCTGTTTCCTTTTCTATGATTGTGTTTCTACTTCCTCTCAGTTTTCACAGAGAGATGATTCTTTACTCCTCAGGAGACCATGAAAACCTGAGTTCAGGGAAGGGACAAGCAATCCATCTGTTCTATCTCACAGCCAAACTGCATAAATAAACTGATGTTTTCTTTCATGGACTCATGGTGGCTGAGTTATTGGACAAAATAACTTCCATCACAGTAAACTAATCAGGGTAATCTGGATTTACCGTAGGAGCTCAGTTTGATTCATATATTTGTTCAACAGCTTTATTGATGATTTAGCATGAGAATATTGTGTTTGAACAATAAGAGAAAGATCTAGACTGCATCAGTTTTTCACTTTTTGGTGAACCTTTAACAACAATAAATGACTCGTGGAAGAAATATGCGATGCAGGATCTGATAAGTAGTCAGTGTGCACTCTTTCAATCCACCATGGAGTGGCAGCATTGGAGTAAAATAAAACTGCACTTCCTCTGAACAGGGAGAAAAACATCAGGAGGGAATTATCCCTTCTCTTTGTTTTAATAGCACAGAATGTTATGATCATCATAAGGTTTGATTTTATTATACAACATATTCTTATTTCAAATCTTTTACAGCTTTCTATTGAAACAGGCCATAACTATTTTTCCTCTTCATGCTATAAATCTTTAAAATGAGCAGCTACATTTACAAACCCACCCCAACTCAGGGGTCTGCAGCCGTAGCAATCAAAAAAGGATTTTTGCTCTTTTGCTCACTAAATAAAATGTGTCCAGAGCTGCAAAATGTGCTACAAATGTGACTATCCATTGGTGGCCCATGGGCCACTTTGAGTTTGTTTGAATGAGGCTTTTCCAGCCAGTGGAGGTAACATTGTAAACTTAAAATTATATAATGATCTTTAACATTTATTATTATTATAAATATAAACTGATCAACAATTTGGGATAAAAATAATATACTCATGTAAAGAAGGAAAACATTTTTATAGATTGTTTAATTTTGATGAAAATTTAAACCCTGGGGTATGCATGCTTTGAGAGTCTGCTTTTTATTTTTAGAAAAAAAGTCTGATTTTGAAAATACAGAATATGAAAAACAGGCCCCATCCTTAGTTTGTGACATAATGTCATTTTAAATAAATTTGTTTTTGGTTTTTATTTCTCTTTAATTCCTAATATTATCAAATTGACTCACCTTTTTTTACTCAGCAACTTGTTTAAAAGGTTTTCCAAACAGTTTCTAATGGAGTCGAGAGAAAAATCCCTCTGTAAGCCTGGAAATTAGAATAAAAGCAATGGCAAACAAACAACTAGAATGATCTAATAAACATGTTTTTTTCTGGTTTTAGGATCATTCACTTTTATTTTTTATTTTTTTTTGAAAATGACAGGAAAATTGCTACAACTATTTTTTTCCTGTTGTGGGAATAAACACCTAAAAAACTGTTTCATGTTAGTTTTGGTCAAAGTCTCAAAGAGAGCAACCAAAGACCCACATGTGGCCCCAAAGCCGTGAGTTGCAGACTTGTTACACAGTATAATAACAGTTGTGTGTGTGTGTGTGTGTGTGTGT